CGCCAAGTCGCCTGTGGCACTCGTGCACGGGCTGCTTAGCCTGATCAGCCGTTGTGCCGACGCCCATTTTGGCACCGTTTTTCTCTCTGAGCAAAGTTCTTGAGTTAAAAGGAAGTGCCAAAGAGACAGCTCAAGTCGCCGGTGCTACGTCCACCAGAGGGACCACGCGGCCCAAACCTTAGATTGTGACGTGCGCACAAATTTTGCATTTAAGGTCTCTTACATATTTACTCCCTTGACAAGGTACAGTGGCTTCCTCCTTCCTTCCCAGATCCTGGCTGGAGCTTCGGTGTCTGCTGTAACCAAACAAAGACAAACCGGTCTTCATCTGGCTGTTCTGCACAACCAGCCAATGCTTTTGAGGTGTCTTCTGGAGAATGGAGCGCCACCTAATGCCCAGGACACAGAGTCCAATACAGGTATTGAAACTGGGTCATGTGGCTTTCGAACATTGCCTATTTTTAGGTCATTCTTATTCCCCCTACTCCTAGTTTTCGATGTCTCCTACACGATGACCATCACTGTATTCTATATTTTTAACGCAACTATAAGCAGCATTATGTTTCAGGAGTCGCAACTCGTGTTAAAATCTGATGTTATCTAAAGTTTGGACTCACTGTAGCTCTTTCTGAACGGTTTTTTCAGCAATAGTGTCGGCTCGCTGTTATGGTTGCCGAATTACAAATTCTATCGGAATTTAACGGTCTCAAACTAGCACTTCTGTTCGTATGAAATTCACCATTACGGAACAGCAAGCTGACTGCCCAGACAGAATTTCCTAAGCAATCATCTAGAATCCACCAGAATGACTTCTAGTCTACTACTAGGTAAAATCGATCCAAGATTGATTAAATTCACGGCTCACGGTGAGCCTCGTAGCTCAATGGTAGAGCGTTGGCTGCGCAAAAGCCTTCCCTGCTGTGTGGGTTCGACTCTCATCGAGGCTGCGAATTTTTCACAATTTGGTCAACTGAATTAAGCAAATCTGTCAACCCCCCCCTAAAACTTTCAGTGCTTCGCAAAACCTACCACTCCTTCTTGGTGTGCCTTGTGGTAGCCTGATAGCAGCAAATGTTGGAAAAATGCTTGCGTGCCTTAATCAAATGTTCATACAAGGTTTTCTGTCAAGTGAATAAATTTCTATCACAGCTTACCCGTCACATGTAAGAATTGTGTACAGGCCATACCGAATTGATCGTGTTTTAAAAAGGGACTCGAAGCAGCGTGACTTGGTTAGTTTGAGCGCTCTTTCGCTCTAGCCAGACGGGTTCTCATCCTGTAAGGTTCCAGTTGAAATTATTTGCCCCCAAGAGGCCGAATTTCTAAACGGAAAGCTTGTTGCTAGTGTCTACCGATGGTCATAATGACTACTAACACAGTATCCTAGTTTCACAGTGTTTGGCTTCTTTCATTGTGTTAAGAACTTCTTTCTTGATATTTCGTTTCACAACTATTTTCCCCTTGAAGTCTTCATATATAGTATGTCTACGAAATCGTGCAACATACTGAAGTTTGCGAAATATTGATAGTCACTCGCAAGCCGACATTAACGCATGTATGAAAACTTACAATTGATGATGAACAATATTGGGCAAATGCGACCAAAAGCTTTTTGTTGCTACATTTTGTGTAGAAAATCTTCACCGGTTAGCAAAATATAATTTTTAAAACTTGAATTGTTCCTTGTTTCCGAAAATCAATGTCATTCCTTAAACTTGGCCCCACTTGCATGTGAACAATTTCGGACAACATTTTTTGCTGTTCTGGAAGGAATATGTTTTGCACTTCTTATTGTTATTTTGGATTTCTTCCATAACGTAGTGCATATTATTTAAGTGTTTGGTTCTGTCGTACTTAATAGCATAAGAAATTCCGTCAATATGAGACTGCTCCCAATTTCGCCAAAATTAATGCACACTGTCTTGAGTAAGGTTAACTAAAAGGGCGGTTTTCCTAACTGAAAGGCTTTCGCAGGATTAAATCTACTCAATTGATCAAAATAATGTGACCAAATATATGCTAAACTACCGTGTCAAATTTCGTCATGGCCGTTGCACGGTTTCTTAAATATACTATATTTTGTTTTATTTTCTTGTATTAGTTACCACCATTTTGGTTGCGAAGGCCTTTTGTTTGCCGTTTATGTACTTTATATTTAAACTAGTCATGCATTGCTTCTGTAGAAGGGAATTCCGAAGCCCATAAATATTGGACTCCTACTGCGCTCGCTACTCCTCATCGTCATCGATCGATCATATAGTGTACATGAGGTTCAGTTAGGGAAAGCCTTTGACAAGCATTCCAACTTACCGAAGTTGGCTTATTTCTGGAAATGTTTCCTAAAATTCCGAAGCAGGTTTTCGACTAGGAAGTCGAGTTGGGTTGTAATATCGATATTTGTGCAGCATCTTCCGAAGATATTTCAGTCACGATAGGCTGCCAGCATTTGAATGAACCTGTCCCACACAAACTACAGTCGGTAAAAAATGATTACATACTTAGCATGATTTCCGATGCCCTATAAACATATTTTATACGAAACATGTACAAGCATTTTCTTTCTTTATATATTCGCTAGTAAATTGCGAAAATGTTTTTATAAGAAAGCACTTTAGAAAGGAGTTTTATTCAATTTAGCATATTTTATAATGATTAGATTATTTAAGACACTGGAATTTGTTGTTTTGTCCATCAAGCAGGGTACATCGTACGCTGCATATAATTATTATTAATATCTTAACTACTATTTTTGCCGACTCATTAGACCAGCTTTCCCTGAGACGCAATTTCCATTAATCTGCTCTCAGCCTTCGCAATTATTTTCCTAGCTGCGTGTTCTTCTATAAGGTCTCATTGCAATTTTTCTTAAAAGTAATCTAGTCAACTTTAAGCATGGTTTTCTTATAACTTTAGCTCTGCACCTTGCAATGAGACTGTCGAATTTACTATGTGCCGAGTTCCTTTTATCCATCCCTGAAACGGACGCAACCCTAATCAATTTCTGGTGAGTTTTCACTATATTTTTGCTCTCACTTCTCAATGCCCTCTGATACCGCAGATTATTGTTCTCTACCTCGTTATTAGCCTACTTTTAAAGCCTCTTGCTCCTACTTTAATCAGGGTTAACCAATGTTATAGTTACTGTCCGCGCGAATTGTAAGTCAATGTTAGCGCCGATCTTTGACCCCAAAGTACTCTGCTGCGTTACCCCAGAGCAGTTCTCTAATATCTTACAGATAGTACCAATTTGCCCTCCCCCATTAAACAACTATAGACCTAGGACGCACTGATACCTGCAAGACTCGGTAATTACTTATAGTTGTTGATATTCTGTGAATTTTGCGCTCACTATGGTAATTCACAAAAACTGCGTATACTACTGGCTGCCTATTGGCAGTTTATGAATATTACGCAGTTAGCCGGATGTATCTGATTGATTTCGCTTATAGCTTCATTCCTACTGATCTATTCCCCAAGCGAGTGATACATTTTGACTTTGTTCCCCCGTTGGGCATATTTTGTTTTTCTGGAAAAATAGTCTACGGTAGATAGCATAAAAGTACTTTATGCCAGCCGCTGCCGCCGCGCCTCCGGGCACTGGTGGCGGTCCTCGTTCCGTGGACAGACGAACCATTAGCTGTCCAGACTAATTTTGTCGGCATTTTTGAATCAAAAACTGGGCGTCTCCTTCACACTGTGTTGTCCAGATCGTCGCTAGGACGGGTATGTAAAGGCCTGATCACTTCGATCTTTGGCACTCTGCAGTATGCAGTTGTTTTGGTCGGAAGTGAGTGCGCTGGATATTTACCAACAAAAGTCTCTGCTGTACTTAAGCCGAATACTACTTTTTCTCACGAAAAACCATTTCATAGTTTTGTAACTGTCAGCAGCAGGAGGTGTACATACACGCTTTGCCGTTTTTTCTTTACTTTGCAGTGGTCAACAGCCGTTGCACGTTCTTGCAAACCATCCCCACACCGAAGAAGGCATTCGGGACTGTTTCTTCGACCGGCGACCCGACATTGATGTGAATGCCGTCGACGCCGCTGGTAACACACGTACGCAGCAACCCGTACGCCTTTTACGTTTCCACTGTGTTGCCCCAGTTTTTACCACTTATTTCGAGTCGAAACAACCAGAGTTTCTGTTGCCAACTATGGCGTTTCCTCTAAGAGGGGGGAGGGGGGTTAGGGGAAGCTATGTTCGTGGTGCTTTGTTCCCTCGCCTAAGTTAAACATACCGCGGGCTTCATAACACATTCCAGACACATGACAACCCTGCGTCGGTATATGTCTTGTCACCGGTTCAAGCGGGGAGAGGGTTTAGAGTGTGGTAGATGGCTGCTCATCTACTTTCGCTATACCTGACTACAGTCACCATCCCTGCTCTTAGGCAGATGGTGGACATGATCGAAATCGATGGTCGAACTATCAGATGAGTAACCGAAAGCGCTACTTTGACGTGAAATTTAGAATACATCTCCATCCATTCAACGCCTCGTTTAGATGTGGTTAATTATACAGCGGATGGAATATTTCGTAAACACTTAACCAAAATTCTGAATTGTAGTTTTGATTCGAAAAGATTACTTGCGTAGGGTTATAATAGTAATTATTGTTCAACGGAATCCCAAGAACTGTCACTCACGTCAGGATGCCGATTTTTGAACGAGGTTCCTTCTGTCAGCTGTTACGGAGGCGGGACCCCCAGTACATTCGCGGCAGTCGGCGAAAAGGACAGACCAACTGGGTCAGACCCGCAGTCAAGCCGCCCACGCTGTGCGTCGAGTAAACGAGACGACTGCCCACATAGCGTGGGCAGAGGCCGCAGTCGAGAAGGTTCCAGAATGTCCATGCGCGCGCCATACGCCAGGAATATTCTAGAAAGACCAGAATCATATAAATATGCCGGAGTAGACAAGCTGAAGGACCCCGCAAACTCCGCGGTCTTTATGTACTGTTAAACGAAAGCCATTGCCACCAGAACCGCTCTCTTGCCTTCTACCCACTACTCGGGCCAGAACAAACTGGGCTATAACAACTGGCAACGTAGGTGTGATTCCGCTGTTTCACAGGGGACGTAACAGCCGCCTGCCGAAGCCTGACTCCGCAAAAACTGACTACGTAATCAGCGTAAATTTTGGTCATGTTGATAAGACGAAAGTTTCAAGTCTGAATGTGCATTCTTCAAGGGGACTTTGGAGCAGCCTGTAATTCATCTAACATCGAAGAACGGAATCACCGTGCAACGCCGGTACCCTCGAAAGCGGTCTCCTAAACTTCGAGGTCATGTCCATCACTCGACGCTTCTAATAAATTCAAATGGAACGTATGCATCAACGTATTATGTCTTGGTAGTAAATTACTTCATCTTCAAGGTTTATACTCGAAAAGAAGGATTTTGGGCAAGATTAGCTTATGTAGCCCCACTCATATACCCCTAGTCCCATCATTTTGTCCT